CCTTCAATGTTCATAATTTTTCTCAAACAAAGTGGCTTCACAATGTGTGTATATATGTTAAGGTTTGTCTCCCTGTGGTAGTAATAACTCACATAGTCTTCAATATTGCCTCTCCTAGAATTGATAACAGCTGCTGCATGTATACAAGGTATACTAGTGACCTCCCAAACCCTACAACTGCATTTTCTGTTTGCCATATCAACTGCATCATTCTCTCCATTACTGTCAACCTCATATAATTATGGTCCTGCAGGCTGTACATTATGTCTTCTAGATTTCAGCCTTAGTTTATCCACTTCATCCTGCACCTTTGGACATAAAAGACCATGTTAGCCTTCCATGTATTCTCTCTTATTATTACACCTTTTTAATAAGTACCTCCTTATCATTTCAAACTTGTAAATCAATGGTTTGCTCCTAGCCTCTAGAATTTGCCTATTCCAAGACTCACACATGTTATTGCTATTTAAATCACACTTTGAGTCCACTGTAAAGCCACACTTGGACCATAAATGGTGAGGGATTCTGTTCAGCCACTCAAAAGCATCATTGTTCATCTTCTTAATGTTTGTCATGTGATTCTTGAACACCTCAAGTGTAAATACATTAGAAGCATTCAAGAATTCAGTTTTCAATCTGGAAATTTCTTCCTAAAATTTTCATACATATGTCTAGCACAAAACCTATGGTCAGTTTTCTCACACAACCTGTCCAACACATCAACCAATCCCTTATGTCTGTCAAAGATAAAAGTTAACTAATAAGGGGGACCAATGATTGCCATCAACTCATTAATAAACCACTGCCAAGTAGCTTTTGACTCAACCTCCACCACTGCAAAAGCAATTGGGTAATAACTATCATTTGGGTCCCTACCAACAGCACTTAACAACTGTCCTCCATATGGCACTTTCAAAAAACAACAATCTAGCCCTACAAATGGCCTGCAGCCTGCTTTGAAGCCACTCCGCATTGCTTCTAGACAATAAAAAACCCTCAAAAACCTTCTTTACCCTCCTTGTCAATTTCAATTTTCACTTTGCATACACTGCCAGGATTTGTCTGCATAACAAGCTTACAGTACTCTCTGATTTTCATAAACTATTCTTCAAAATTACCTTCAATCATTTCCAAGGCTTTTGTCTTACTGCTTACCTTGAATCTAGAAACTTATATCTCAAAATCCTTTTCAATCAAGCCACTTAAACCACCATTCTTCCAAGTTGGGTCCACTCTGAATTGGTTTATGTAGTGCTTGGCTATGTACCTAGATGTTGCTTGTCTATTTGTTTCAGGTGGAATACAGTGGTGTGTACTTCTATATGTCTTGATTTGAAAGCTATTATCACTGCTATTCTTTGAGGCATGAATCTTCCAACCACATTTACTAATGCACACAGCAGTAATCCTATTTTTCTCATTTTTCTTAAGCCTGAAATCATAGTTATGTTTTATAGCATGGTCCCTCAATGCTACCCTAAAATCATCTGCACATGTAAACTTCATCCCAATTTCTAAGGGTTTAATGCCCAAATCCCTCTCAACAACATATTCAGTAGCCCTAATGTTACTATCAGCTTCCTCATTTGATAAGCTATGAACACTCCACAACTCATCACTTGGTGCATATACAGAATCTCCATCTAAGTCTTCTACTTGACCCCATAAAGCTTCAATATGACCATCTAAGTCATAAAGCTTCAATATGACCATCTAAGTCTTCTGAATGGGAAGAAGATTGGGAAGAGGACTGGGAAGAGGCATGGGAAGATGAGTGGGAAGGAGAATGAGGTGCAGCTGTAGTTTCAGGTGCAGGTGCAGCTGTAGTTTCAGTTGCAGGTGCAGTTTCAAGTGCAGGTGCAAGTGCAACTACTAGTACCTTCACCAATGAAAAATTCTTGTATATTGCAAACATATTCAATAGACCATTATCAGAGACTATTAGCACAGGATTTCCATTACTAAGGTCTCTATAATAGACTTCACTTTTGGGATCTAAGTTCAGTAGTGTCAACATATCTTCAATTTCAAAATATGACATGCGATCAGGATCACAATTATCAAATTTATCAACTTTCCCCCCAATATAGTAATAGTGGTCCTTATCAAATTTTCCATCATAATGTATCTCAATTGTATACTTTTTAGACGTTATGAACAGCACCTACAAAAATTTAAACAAACAATACTAATTAACATCAAATTACATGCATGTGCAGACTAACATCAAATTACATACATATGTAGACAAATTATTTACATGCATGTGTAGACAAATTATTTACATGCACTATAAGGACAAGAAGATACCCAATATATTACATGCATGTGGAGACTAATATCAATATAAAAACATTAACAGAACCAACCTCAAATGCCAAAAAAAATATATAAAAAATAAAAAATTACACAAGTTCAAGGCAGTTTAACACTTTGTTAGACATGTGGAGCCCAAAAAAAAAAAAAAAAAAAAAAAAAAAAAAAAAAAAAAAAAAAAAAAAAGGGCAAAAGGCCCTCATTTTTATCTCAAACCGTAACAAAACAACTATACAATACACTGCAATAAACATGAAGAAGACAAAGTGGAAGCTATTTAACTATAATCGAAGCAAATAGAGACATGTGGAACCCAAATTCGTTGACAATTGACACAAAACACTAAAGGGGACCATACAGATTCGAATAAAATCCTTTATTGAACAGAAAAATAACAATAACATCACAGAAACTATTGAATCACACAAATACAAACGCTATAACATAAATACCCTAACTTTTATCATCATTAAAGAAATCAGAAACATGAAAACATAAAAACCCTAACCTCATAAACGTGTTTTTTCCTTTCAATGGCAGCACTTCGTCTTTGATCTCAAACCCTAATAGCCAGAAATTACAGATCGTCCGCAATCAAGCCACGAAAATGATTGTGTTTGCTTCGTCTTTGGTGTCTATGTTTGTGAAGGGCTGTGTGTGTGTGATCGACAATAGAGATGACTGATGGTGTGGCTTGGGTTGAATAACCCTAATTTAGTGTATTTAGCCTAAACGACGTAGTTTTGAGTATGTTATGTTTCATTACCCAAAACGACGTCGTTTTGTTCAATGTCTATTTAGGTCATTTCAACTTTTTCAATTTTTTTACTATTATTGAATAAAGATTATTGGGGGGTATTTTCGTATTTTTACCCACCCCTCTAACAAAAAGCCCTTATTTGCAACTTTTTGAAATTCGAGGGGTCAATTTTGAACGGCAGGGGTGTTATTTGCAACTTTTTTAAACTAGAGGGGTGTTTTTTGCACTTACCCCGTACCCAAGCCCTTCAAAAAAAATAAAATTAAAAATAATAAATAAATAACAAAAAATAAAATTAAATAAAGGCATTTTAAATTTTTTTTATAAAAATCCCAAAAATTATTTATTTAATTATTTTATATATTTGTTTTAGTATTTATTTTATTTTATTTATATATAAAAAAAAAAAGAAATACCTAAAATTCCCTTAATGGTATTTTAGAAATTTTGTAAAAAAAATTGGTTGCAATTTGCTCCAAATTTTAAAAATTGTAAAGATGCTTCAAATTTTAAAAATATAAAGATTTATTTGCATATAATAAATAGTAAGGATGTTCTTGCACATTTTTTATACGGAAAGAGTTTTATTTATTTATTTATTTATTTATTTTTTTTTTGCACAATGTCCAGCACTAGTTTGGGCTTCTTAGACTGTTTTTAGTTCTATGGTTAGTGAACAGGTTTGGCAGCTCAAGTGTGAATAAACAAAGTAATGTTACCCTTGCTTTAATTTTGTCGCAGTTGATGAAACGGTACCAAACTATAGGATTTGTCGTGCTATTGTGTGGATGATATTCTTGCTATTGTGTATGATATTGAATATGGATGCAGTATTTTAAATTTTTTTAAACATAATTTCTTCTATTTATCCTTTGAGTATAGCGTTTTACTTTGGATCTATTTATTTTTCAGATCTCAAAAATTTGAGATCTCAAATATTTTTAAAAATAATTTCTTCTATTTATATAAGGTTTTATTTTGGGTCTATTTATCTTTTCAGATCTCAAAATTTTCACATCTAAAATTTTTGAAAAATAATTTCTTCTATTTATCCTTTGAGTATAACCCTTTGAGTATAACGTTTTACACTGGGTCTATTTATTTTTCAGATATCAAATTTCTAAGATCTCAAACTTTTCAGATCTCAAATTTCGTTTTACTATAGTTCATTATCTAATAAGAAGTGAAGATGAGATGTTTATGAAACTTTTTACTGTGATACACAATGAAATCGTACTAGTGATACGCAGTGAAATCGTTAAAAAATCAAAGCAAAACGAAATTTGAGATCTGAAAAGTTTGAAATCTTACAAATATGAGATCTGAAAAAAAAAATAGACCAAAAGTAAAACGTTATACTCAAAGGGTTATACTCAAACGAAATTATTTTTAAAAAAAAAATTTTGAGATCCCAAAATTTTGAGATCTGAAAAGATAAATAGACCCAAAGTAAAACGCCCTATGCTCAAAGGATAAATAGAAGAAATAATTTTTAAAAAAATTTAAAATATGAAGCACTCCTTTTCCACATTAATGAACAATACCATTATTCATAAGGAGTGGAAAAGGAATTTATTTATTTTTTTATTTTTAAGCGGGAGAGGGCAAAGTAATTTTATAAATTTAAGAAGAGGAAAGCTAACATCCGGGGCTAAAACATATCTGAAAATCAGAATTTTTGTAGGTCGTTAGCAAAGTCAGCCTGGGGTTTGAAGTTGTTGCATCTGTTCTACATTATTGACAATACTAAGAAATGCCCAAACGTATGGAATTTTTGCTCGTCTTAGATCATGATTTACTACAACAATGGGAAACATTTTTAAAAGCTTCCGCATTAAACCGTTTTCTAACAGCCTCTTTCAAAGATGTCACAACTATGGATGTCTCGTTGCTTAGGTTTTCCTTAGAAAGCCAGTCACATTCCTGACAGAACAACAAACACTTGATAGGTTGACAATTTTACCAAATTCAGAATCTGTCGAAGTACTAATTCTACACCATATCTCAATTTTACAGTCTATAAAAGCAAATAAATACAAACAGCTGTATCAGGTTTTAACAATTCTGCAGTTAAAATTAACTTAGCGAGGTCCATAGTCCAACAACTCCCACCTGAAGGGACGGAAAACATACAGAACTTCAGGTGAGCTTTTAAAGAGGAGAGCCACACAAACACAGACTGCAGCTATGGCCACCATTGAGAGCATTGCAGGCCTATACAGCAGAGATCTGCTGGCATTTCCAAAACCCATCTTCCGATCGCAGAGCTTGCACGGCTGCCGAGTGGGTCTCATTTGGGTACTAACAATCTGTTGCTCATTTTGCTTTTGGTTGACGTGGCAATCTGACAGAATATTGGGAATGTCGAGCACCACATGCCCACTTACCAGTCTCCTATTAATTTTCTTTTGGACGAGATGGATGTAAGAGTAGTTACCTCGCAATCGAGCATAATCTTCAGGTGTACAACCTTTGCTGTCACGAGCACTCTTCCATGCTTTAACTCCAACCTGAATCAGACCATGATCAGCATCTTTGGTTAATAATGGTGCTAATAATGGTGCAAGTGTCTTTGATATAACAGAGGATTGATGACATAAGAGAGGAGTAATGCTAAAAAATGCTGGGCAGTTAGATATGCAAGTAAATCTCCGTTGACAACCATTCCAACAATACCAAGAAAATGGGAACAAAATGTTTAAGTTGACTCAGCTATTATGAATTATCTATGCCACAGATTGTTCCCCTTTGTACAAGGTCCTGTTTAAATGTTAAAGCAACCGATAGTGGGTTCAGTTGACGGTCAAACCAGCGAGCTTAAAGTGCGAATTTTAAACACTACACAACCTGAACATCACTTTTGCGGCCCACATGAACAGGGGCTTTGAGTATTGAAAGAGAAGGAATTACCTTTCCAGGATCTTCAGTTAATGCATCCAATACCTCCTCAGAGCCGTCTATACCAGCAGCCACATGAAGAGGTGTCAAATCTGCAGGGCCAACAACATCAGGTCTAAACAAGAAGCTGTCATCTTCGCCAACCAATGACTTGTGCTCAGATTTTAATTCCTCTGAAACTTTCTCGGGGACATATCTCAACAGAAACTCTACTACAGGCCTAGAATTTCTCCGCACAGCTCTATGGAGAAGGCTCATTTCGGACAGTGCAAGCTTCAAGAATGGGTTCCTTCCTTTACTTACAGTTCCATCAAGAAGAATATCCAGAAGTGTCTTGACAACAGCACACCAATCACGGTCCACCGAGAAATCCATGAGCCACTTAAACCGTTTGAAAGGAAAGAGGTCTGAATTAGGATCCAAGTGACCCAATCTAGACTTTAAGTGACTTCTGTGAAGAAGCCAGCCCATTTCATGTATAAAATCCATGGCTTGGTTTCTTGCTTCCATTTTCCCAGTTCCTCCCTGGAGGTCATCAGTCCCAGTCAATTCGATTGCATTCTCAAGCATACATATCTCAGAGCAAACATCCTTCTCTGCAACTATAAAAGGGAAGAAACCACTGCTGAGTCCATGATCTTCAACCTGGAAGATTTCAAGAAATCATACTCCTAACGAGGAATATTTTAAAAAAATAACAGAAAGCCATATATTGTAGCGGACACACACGCACACATATGGCCTGACATGCCATGTGAACCATTGGCAGGCTGACTTGTTGCCACCACTGGCATAGCCATGATTTCTATGGAGCCAAGCCTGCCAAACCATAAACCGGATGAAATCATACCCCAGGGATGAAATCATACCCAAGGAATGAAAGATTGGTTGTCAAGGGCAAGCTTTTTGGACACAAGATGATAGTCATAAAAAGAAAATCAGCATATTTTACTTATGATGGGAGGAAATATGAGATAAGTAGGAGAAACAAACACCTCAATAAATCCTCTTCCAGTCACTGCAGGGATAGAGCAAGAGAAGTTGAGGCATTGGAGTTCATCATTCTCTTTGAGGCCATCAACACCCTCATTGGTAGCTTCCTGAACCAGATAGTTCCCTTCTAGCACACAGAGTAACCTGACAAGAGAAAGGGTGTGGATAACAAACATGACGTAACTTAGAAACAGCTATATAGTTTCAAATTCCAAAGGTACATGAAAAAAGGACAAATACATTTTTACGTCACTTTGAGAAGGATTGCATTGAAATCATCAATTTTAGCATTTTATGACGTAAAGATGGTAATTCTTTTTAATTATTATTATTATTATTATTATTATTATTATTATTACATTTTTACATCACTTTGAGAAGGATTGCATTGAAACCATCAATTTTAGCATTTTATGACGTAAAGATGGTAATTCTTTTTTATTATTATTAAGTATGGTTGCATTTATTGTAAAATATAGTGAAAGACTTGTTGCTTTGAATCCTGGTTGCTAAATCTATACATAATCTATAACCCCCATGAAAACCAACTGTATTTGCATCCAATATTTTTCAATTAATTCCACTAATAATAGTTCTTTCTCTATAAATAGTCAGGAAAAGAAATTAACAAGTTCAGTTCTCTTCTACCAACTAATAAGTTTCCTCCATCAAGATGGAAATAGCTTATTAAGAAGAGATAAAAAGATTTATGACATGTAAATAAATGTGTTGCCCAAACAATGACCCAAGAGGGGGTAAGTTGGGTCTTTTGGAAAGCGATAGGAAATTTTTCGATTAAATTGTTTAAAATGAAAACTCAGCAAGTATATAAGCAAGCTGAAGAAAAAGAGAGAAAGGTAGAGAGATGCAAACTCAAAGAACACCAAGTCGTAACATGGTTCGGCACCCCCACATACGTCCACACCTCAAGAACACCTCAAGGATTCCAATCCATTATAGCACTCTTGTTCACAGGGAGAGGAAACCTTTACAAAGCTTCACAAGCTTGTCCCTCTTAGCTAAGTGTATACCTCACTTAGACTTCAAGGGTTACGCCAACCCTTATACAACAATAATCAAGTGTAGAAAAGTGTTTCAATACAACAACAAATATTCCTTGTTAGAATGTATATAGGCGTATTTTGTATTTCTTACAAGGGCAAGTTGGTAATTTTCTTTCTAATATAAATTGTTATATAAAACAAGTGAGAGAAGGTCGATTGTGGTTCTCTCTCAAATATTCATACCCCAAACACAATGTTTCTTCTTCTTCTCTGTACATCCTAAATTCAATATGGTATCAAAGCGGGTTTGAGATGTGTGGTTATCGTTGGTGACATCATCATCGCCATTATCATTGGTGCTGATTGTGATCCGCCGTATAGTAATCACTATATATCTTTTTCGTGTGTTGGTGATCGTCTTTGTAGATCGCCATTCTTGTCGGTCTTTGTGGTGGTCTTCGTGTAATGGTGGTGGTGGTTTTGTGTATGCCGTTGTGAAGTGGTGGTGATTTGGTTGCAGTCATCATTGGAGAAGACTGACTTATCAAAAAAAAAATCATTGGAGAAGACTTGAAGCGGCTAGGGTTGTTGAAATAAGGGGAAAAGGTGGACTCTGCCCAACCCGATATTCCCACCAGGCAGACCCAGCTGCATCAAACCCAACAAGTCTGAATGGATCAATCTAATTTGTTAATCTGAATCACATCAACTGATCCAACCCGAACGAGGTTAGCAGTTCTTTTTTTTATTTTTGGTTCCCTTCCTCTCTTCTCTCTCTTCCCACCAGTTCAGTTTTCCGCCTGCAAGCAAGTTTCGGCCAGTTCACTTTCCAGCAATCCAGTTCGGTCAGTTCACTTTCCAGCTAGTCAGATTTTTTTCCCTTTTTCTCCAGTCAATTTACATTCTTTCGGCCAGTTCAGACTCACTATAGCCAGCCTTAACTCCCTTGTTTATTCTATTTTACTTCATCCAGTTCAGATTTCTTCCTGGTGTTAAGTTTCTTCATCTAGTATGGCAGCTACTAAAGTGTACAAGTACGACCCAATTTGTGCTCAGATGAGGAGAGGACAAGATCAAGGTAGAGAACCACTTAAACGTACTTACTGTGGTCAGACTAATCACACCCCCAATCACTGTGGGATCTTCACATGCCCAATCAGATGCCCACTCATCTGATAAGATCATTATCTCACATGCTCCAAGTATGCTCAGCTTTTATCGCAACAACAGGTTTCATTGTCATCTCTATGGCCATCTGTGCTCAATCAGGTATTGCATCCACACATTTATTATCTTCCACTCATAGTCCCTGGATTATTGATTCGGGAGCATCAGACTGCTTGCAATAATCTTTTATCTCACCTTCATTCTAGCCCTTCTCAGAGTGTCACTCTAGGTAATGGTTCATCATCTGAAGTTTCAGGTGTTGGAATGACTCAACTTAATTCTACCCAATCTCTTTCATCTGTTTTACATTTTCCTCAATTTCCCTTTAACTGGATGTCTATTAGTAAGCTTACAAAAGCCCTTCATTGTTCTGTTACATCTTATACCACTTATTGTGTTTTCCAGGATCTCAAGACAAAGAAGAAGATTGTTACGGGCATGTATATGGTACAAAGAAAAGAAATCAAATCTAAGAAAAACAAGAAATATGCCAAATTCTATGTGATCCCATAATTATGGGATCACATAGATAAAATCCCCGTAATCATGGGATCACATAAATAATATCCCCATAATTCCCATAATTATAGGATCATGTAGATAAGATCCCCGTAATCATGGGATCACGTAGATAATATCCCCATAATTTATGGGGATATTATCTACGTGATCCCATGATTACGGGGATCTTATCATTATGGGGATATTATCTACGTGATCCCATGATTACGGGGATCTTATCTACATGATCCTATAATTATGGGAATTATGGGGATATTATCTACGTGATCCCATGATTACGGGGATCTTATCTAAGTGATCCCATGATTACGGAGATCTTATCTAAAACACATAATAAAAATACAAATAATAATATTTCAACACTTCCCCTCCAGCTGGAGTGAAGATTACCAATCAAGCCAAGCTTGGTAATCAAGGAATGAAGCAAAGATGGACCAACGAATTTGGTAAACACATCTACCGACTGATTAGAGGACCGAACAAAGCACGGCCTGATAATTCCCGAACGAACCTTCTCTCCGATAAAATGAATGTCCACCTCTATATGTTTAGTCCTCTCATGAAGAACAAAATCTGAAGCAAGCATAATGGCCGACTTACTATCACAAAACAAGTCTGAGGACTGTTTTTCACTTAACCTTAGCTCCTCCAAGAAAGATCGAAGCCAGAGAATCTCACAAGTACCCTGGCCCTGGCACGATACTCAACCTTTGCTGAAGATCTCGAAACTACAGGTTGCTTCTTACTTTTCCAGGATATAAGATGATCTCCGTAGAACGTACAGAAGCCAGATGTGGAACGTCTGTCAGTCTTAGACCCAGCATGATCTGCATCACTGAAACAAGATAGCCCAACTTGTTTTCTAGAAGAATAGAATAATCCAAGTCCAGGACAGGACTATATCGAAGAATATGATATACCGCATCCATATGAGCTGTACAAGGGGCATGCATAAATTGACTCACAACACTAACCGCAAAATCCAAATCAGGACAGGTGTTAGTAAGATAAATCAATCGTCCTATCAAGCACTGATACTGTTGATACTGGGAGGGATGAAAAAGGAGATCTCCAAACTCAGCGGAGATATTCAGATTAGGATCCATAGCAGTGGAAGTAGGTTTACATCCAAGCATACCCGTGTCTCGAAGAAGATCCAAGACAAACTTCCTTTGCGATAGAGAGATACCCCACTTAGATCTAGCAACCTCAATTCCCAAGAAATATCTAAGTTGCCCACATCAAAAGCTTTAGCCAATTGAAGCTTTACTTGAGTAAGCCCAAGGATGTCATTGCCAGTAATGATGATATCATCAACATAGACAAGAAGAATGATACATCGACCAGTGGAGGAACGGTGGATAAAACATATATGGTCAGAATGGCATCTAACAAACTCCATGGATAGAATTACATAACTGAAGCAACTGAACCAAGCTCTGGGAGATTGTTTTAACCTATACAAAGACTTCTGCAATCAACAGACCTTTCCAGCATACTCCCCCTCAGCCCGAAAATCAGGTTGGGGATCCATATAAATACTCTCAAGAAGATCACCGTTAAGGAAAGCATTCTTCACATCAAGCTAATGAAGAGGCCAATTGTGAGAGGCAGCCAGGGAGACGAGCAAACAAACTGAGGTCAATTTAGCTACTAGAGCGAATGTATCATTAAAGTCTTTACCAGGAATCTGAGTAAACCCTTTGGCCACCAAACGGGCCTTATACCGATCAATAGAACCATCGGCCAGATATTTAACATTGAATACCCATTTGTAACCAATAGTCTTCTCACTAGGAAGGAGAGATACAAGCTCCCATGTTTCATTTTGCTATAAAACATCCATTTCTACCATCATAGCAAAGAACCAATTGGGATTCCAGAGAGCCAAAGAGACATTTCTGGGAATGAAAATGGAATCAAGTTTGCCTAGAAAGGCCTAATAAGACCCTGAAAGACCATCATAAGAGATATACCACGAAATAGGATAATCAGTACTACAAGCGAATCCAAATCGAGCAAGGGGTTTGCGGTCCCGAGTGGGATACCAAGACTCAGGAACAGGGTCAGGCAAAAGTAAACGAGAGATAGGAGATGTACCTAAACTTGTGTCTAATGAGGATGAAGGCAGTGGAGGCGAAGCACGAGGGTGGCGAGAATAGACCACTTGTAAAGGGGGTGAGGAAACCACAAGAGAAGACTCTTCTTGAAAAATAGGAAGAGGACGAGCAAGAGGAGAAGCCTCTTGATCGGGAGTAGAAGTTTCCTGCAAGATTGTGTTAGAACCATAAAAAGGGGTATGCTCATTAAAGGTGACATCAAGAGAGTGATACGTGTGTTTGTGTACTAGATCATAACACCTATAACCTTTTGACATTAAAGAGTATCCTAAGAAGATACATTTAATGGCGTTGGCATCAAGTTTAGTACGAGAAGGGCTACGATAGGGAA